TCTCCACCTAGTACTGTGACTTGTGTTCTATCCACCTAGTACTGTGACTGTTGTGTTCTCTCCACCTAGTACTATGTTGTGTTCTCTCCACCTAGTACTGTGACTTGTGTTCTATCCACCTAGTACTGTGACTGTTGTGTTCTCTCCACCTAGTACTATGTTGTGTTCTCTCCACCTAGTACTGTGACTTGTGTTCTATCCACCTAGTACTGTGACTGTTGTGTTCTCTCCACCTAGTACTGTGACTGTTGTGTTAGTGGACTGGTGTGGGTGGCATCCTGGGTGTTAGTGGACTGGTGTGGGTGGCATCCTGGGTATTAGTGGACTGGTGTTGATGGCATCCTGGGTGTTAGTGGACTGGTGTGGGTGGCATCCTGGGTGTTAGTGGACTGGTGTGGGTGGCATCCTGGGTGTTAGTGGACTGGTGTGGGTGGCATCCTGGGTGTTAGTGGACTGGTGCGGGTGGCATCCTGGGTGTTAGTGGACTCGTGTGGGTGGCATCCTGGGTGTTAGTGGACTGGTGTTGGTGGCATCCTGGGTGTTAGTGGACTGGTGTGGGTGGCATCCTGGGTGTTAGTGGACTGGTGTGGGTGGCATCCTGGGTGTTAGTGGACAGGTGTTGGTGGCATCCTGGGTGTTAGTGGACTGGTGTGGGTGGCATCCTGGGTGTTAGTGGACTGGTGTGGGTGGCATCCTGGGGGACAAGACTGAGGACCACAATGGAAATAAGACAGTCCACGATGACACTGACTTTCTTGGGTTATCCTGGCTGGCTAACCCTCCAGAGTTAAAAATCCGAACGAACTATTATCTTAACTAGTGAAATATTAACAAAGATATATTAACACAGACATTATTTACCAGTATTGTCTACCTTATTGACCAGTATTGTGTACCTTATTTACCAGTATTGTCTACCTTATTGACCAGTATTGTGTACCTTATTGACCAGTATTGTCTACCTTATTGACCAGTATTGTCTACCTTATTGACCAGTATTGTGTACCTTATTGACCAGTATTGTCTACCTTATTGATCAGTATTGTCTACCTTATTGACCAGTATTGTCTACCTTATTGACCAGTATTGTCTACCTTATTTACCAGTATTGTCTACCTTATTGACCAGTATTGTGTACCTTATTGACCAGTATTGTCTACCTTATTGATCAGTATTGTCTACCTTATTGACCAGTATTGTCTACCTTATTGACCAGTATTGTGTACCTTATTGACCAGTATTGTCTACCTTATTAAACCAGTATGTGTACCTTATTTACCATATGTCTACCTTATTGACCAGTATTGTCTACCTTATTGACCAGTATTGTCTACCTTATTGACCAGTATTGTGTACCTTATTGACCAGTATTGTGTACCTTATTGACCAGTATTGTCTACCTTATTGATCAGTATTGTCTACCTTATTGACCAGTATTGTCTACCTTATTGACCAGTATTGTCTACCTTATTGACCAGTATTGTGTACCTTATTGACCAGTATTGTCTACCTTATTAACCAGTATTGTCTACCTTATTTACCAGTAATTGTCTACCTTATTTACCAGTATTGTCTACCTTATTTACCAGTATTGTCTACCTTATTTACCAGTATTGTCTACCTTATTTACCAGTATTGTCTACCTTATTGACCAGTATTGTGTACCTTATTTACCAGTATTGTCTACCTTATTTACCAGTATTGTCTACCTTATTTACCAGTATTGTCTACCTTATTTACCAGTATTGTCTACCTTATTGACCAGTATTGTGTACCTTATTTACCAGTATTGTCTACCTTATTGACCAGTATTGTCTACCTTATTTACCAGTATTGTCTACCTTATTGACCAGTATTGTCTACCTTATTTACCAGTATTGTCTACCTTATTGACCAGTATTGTCTACCTTATTGACCAGTATTGTCTACCTTATTGACCAGTATTGTCTACCTTATTGACCAGTATTGTGTACCTTATTTACCAGTATTGTCTACCTTATTGACCAGTATTGTCTACCTTATTTACCAGTATTGTCTACCTTATTGACCAGTATTGTCTACCTTATTTACCAGTATTGTCTACCTTATTTACCAGTATTGTCTACCTTATTGACCAGTATTGTCTACCTTATTGACCAGTATGTCTACCTATTGACCAGTATTGTCTTCCTTATTGACCAGTATTGTCTACCTTATTTACCAGTATTGTCTACCTTATTGACCAGTATTGTCTACCTTATTTACCAGTATTGTCTACCTTATTGACCAGTATTGTCTACCTTATTGACCAGTATTGTCTACCTTATTGACCAGTATTGTCTACCTTATTGACCAGTATTGTCTACCTTATTGACCAGTATTGTCTACCTTATTGACCAGTATTGTCTACCTTATTTACCAGTATTGTCTACCTTATTGACCAGTATTGTCTACCTTATTGACCAGTATTGTCTACCTTATTTACCAGTATTGTCTACCTTATTGACCAGTATTGTCTACCTTATTTACCAGTATTGTCTACCTTATTTACCAGTATTGTCTACCTTATTGACCAGTATTGTCTACCTTATTGACCAGTATTGTCTACCTTATTGACCAGTATTGTCTACCTTATTTACCAGTATTGTCTACCTTATTGACCAGTATTGTCTACCTTATTTACCAGTATTGTCTACCTTATTTACCAGTATTGTCTACCTTATTTACCAGTATTGTGTACCTTATTTACCAGTATTGTCTACCTTATTTACCAGTATTGTCTACCTTATTGACCAGTATTGTCTACCTTATTGACCAGTATTGTCTACCTTATTTACCAGTATTGTCTACCTTATTGACCAGTATGTCTACCTTATGACCAGTATTGTCTACCTTATTGACCAGTATTGTCTACTTTATTGACCAGTATTGTCTACCTTATTGACCAGTATTGTGTACCTTATTTACCAGTATTGTCTACCTTATTGACCAGTATTGTCTACCTTATTTACCAGTATTGTCTACCTTATTGACCAGTATTGTCTACCTTATTTACCAGTATTGTCTACCTTATTTACCAGTATTGTCTACCTTATTGACCAGTATTGTCTACCTTATTGACCAGTATTGTCTACCTTATTTACCAGTATTGTCTTCCTTATTGACCGATATTGTCTACCTTATTTACCAGTATTGTCTACCTTATTGACCAGTATTGTCTACCTTATTGACCATATTGTCTACCTTATTTACCAGTATTGTCTACCTTATTGACCAGTATTGTCTACCTTATTGACCAGTATTGTCTACCTTATTGACCAGTATTGTCTACCTTATTGACCAGTATTGTCTACCTTATTGACCAGTATTGTCTACCTTATTGACCATTTATTGTCTACCTTATTGACCAGTATTGTCTACCTTATTGACCAGTATTGTCTACCTTATTGACCAGTATTGTCTACCTTATTGACCAGTATTGTCTACCTTATTGACCATATTGTCTACCTTATTGACCAGTATTGTCTACCTTATTGACCAGTATTGTCTACCTTATTGACCAGTATTGTCTACCTTATTTACCAGTATTGTCTACCTATTTTACCAGTATTGTCTACCTTATTGACCAGTATTGTCTACCTTATTGACCAGTATTGTCTACCTTATTTACCAGTATTGTCTACCTTATTGACCAGTATTGTCTACCTTATTTACCAGTATTGTCTACCTTATTTACCAGTATTGTCTACCTTATTGACCAGTATTGTCTACCTTATTGACCAGTATTGTCTACCTTATTGACCAGTATTGTCTACCTTATTGACCAGTATTGTCTACCTTATTGACCAGTATTGTCTACCTTATTGACCAGTATTGTCTACCTTATTGACCAGTATTGTCTACCTTATTGACCAGTATTGTCTACCTTTTTTGACCAGTATTGTCTACCTTATTGACCAGTATTGTCTACCTTATTTTACCAGTATTGTCTACCTTATTGACCAGTATTGTCTACCCTTATTGACCAGTATTGTCTACCTTATTTACCAGTATTGTCTACCTTATTGACCAGTATTGTCTACCTTATTGACCAGTATTGTCTACCTTATTGACCAGTATTGTCTACCTTATTGACCAGTATTGTCTACCTTATTGACCAGTATTGTCTACCTTATTGACCAGTATTGTCTACCTTATTGACCAGTATTCCTTTGCTGTAGTTTCTACTTCATATTCTCCTACACATGTAGTGTATGATAATACATACATAGTGTATAATACACATATACATAGTGTATAATACACATATACATAGTGTATAATACACATATACATAGTGTATAATACACACATACATCGTATATGATAATAAACATATACATAGTGTATAATACACATATACATAGTGTATAATACACATATACATATTGTATAATACACATATACATAGTGTATAATACACATATACATAGTGTATAATACACATATACATAGTGTATAATACACATATACATAGTGTATAATACACATATACATAGTGTAATAATACACATATACATAGTGTATAATACACATATACATATTGTATAATACACATATACATAGTGTATAATACACATATACATAGTGTATAATACACATATACATAGTGTATAATACACATATACATATTGAATAATACACATATACATAGTGTATAATACACATATACATATTGTATAATACACATATACATAGTGTATAATACACATATACATAGTGTATAATACACATATACATATTGTATAATACACATATACATAGTGTATAATACACATATACATATTGTATAATACACATATACATAGTGTATAATACACATATACATATTGTATAATACACATATACATAGTGTATAATACACATATACATGTATAATACACATATACATAGTGTATAATACACATATACATATTGTATAATACACATATACATAGTGTATAATACACATATACATAGTGTATAATTATGTATCCTGACAGGTTGAAGCCAGGAAGTCAGCTGTTCGTCAGAGAAATGTATCTCCAACATTACAGCGTCCTCTATATACATACAGGTCAGTTAAAATTACACTGTATGACAGTATTATTCTCTATTACTATTTATACACCTGTATTATTCTGTATTACTCTGTATATCCCGTATTACTCTGTACACCCCGTATTATTCTGCATATCTTGTATTATTCCGTATATTCCGTATTATTCCGTATACTCTGTATTATTCCGTATACTCCGTATTATTCCGTATACTCCGTATTTTTCCGTATACTCCGTATTATTCCACATACTCCGTATTATTCCGTATACTCCGTATTATTCCGTATACTCCGTATTATTCTGTATACTCCGTATTATTCCGTATACTCCGTATTATTCCGCATACTCCGTATTATTCCGTATACTCCGTATTATTCCGTATACTCCGTATTATTCCGCATACTCCGTATTATTCCGTATACTCTGTATTATTCCATATACTCCGTATTATTCCGTATACTCCGTATTATTCCGCATACTCCGTATTATTCCGTATACTCCGTATTATTCCGTATACTCCGTATTATTCCGTATACTCCGTATTATTCCGTATACTCCGTATTATTCCGCATACTCCGTATTATTCCGTATACTCCGTATTATTCCGTGTACTCCGTATTATTCCGTATACTCCGTATTATTCCGTATACTCCGTATTATTCCGTATACTCCGTATTATTCCGCATACTCCGTATTATTCTGTATACTCCGTATTATTCCGTATACTCCGTATTATTCCGTATACTCCGTATTATTCCGCATACTCCGTATTATTCTGTATACTCCGTATTATTCCGTATACTCCGTATTATTCCGTATACTCCGTATTATTCCGCATACTCCGTATTATTCCGTATACTCCGTATTATTCCGTATACTCCGTATTATTCCGTATACTCCGTATTATTCCGTATACTCCGTATTATTCTGTATTTTCCAAAATACATATCAATTATAATTAATGATTTTCTTAATGCTTATTAATTTACGTTTATATCTTCATTATTATTATGTCTACACATATATTATCATTATTATTATTATAATAATTATTATCATCATTATTATTATTATTATTATTATTATTATTATTATTATTATTATTATTATTATTATTATTATTATTATTATTAAGACTCTGATACTAAGAAAGGCTTTTGGCTTAAGGAATTAGAGGTTTGTCTAAGGTTTCTTGAGAACCTGACTGCGATGAGGTAAGTAGGTAGGTATGTAAGTAGGTAGGTATGTAAGTAGGTAGGTATGTAAGTAGGTAGTTATGTAAGTAGGTAGGTATGTAAGTAGGTAGGTATGTTAGTATGTAAGTAGGTAGGGAGGTAAGTAGGTAGGTATGTAAGTAAGTAGGTTGGGAGGTAAGTATGTAAGTAGGTAGGGAGGTAAGTAGGTAGGTATGTAAGTATGTAAGTAGGTAGGGAGGTAAGTAGGTAGGTATGTAAGTAGGTATGTATGTAAGTAGGTAGGTATGTAAGTAGGTAGGGAGGTAAGTAGGTAGGTATGTAAGTATGTAAGTAGGTAGGTATGTAAGTATGTAAGTAGGTAGGGAGGTAATTAGGTAGGTATGTATGTATGTAAGTAGGTAGGTATGTAAGTATGTAAGTAGGTAGGGAGGTAAGTAGGTAGGTATGTAAGTAAGTAGGTAGGTATGTAAGTATGTAAGTAGGTAGAAAGGTAAGTATGTAAGTAGGTAGGAAGGTAAGTAGGTAAAGAGGTAAATATGTAAGTAAGTAGGAAGGTAAGTAGGTAGAGAGGTAAGTAGGTAGAGAGGTAAGTATGTAAGTAGGTAGTGAGGTAAATATGTAAGAAGATATGGTATTAGGTACAGTAAGCAGGTTTCTGCTGTATGACCGTACGGTTTAGAGCCTTCCCATGAATAGAGCACAATAAAAATAATAATGATAAAGCTCTACCCAGAGTGAAACATGGCTTGATAAAGCTCTACACAGAGTGAAACATGACTTGATAAAGCTCTACACAGAGTGAAACATTACTTGATAAAGCTCTACACAGAGTGAAACATGACTTGATAAAGCTCTACACAGAGTGAAACATGACTTGATAAAGCTCTACACAGAGTGAAACATGATAAAGCTCTACACAGAGTGAAACATGACTTGATAAAGCTCTACACAGAGTGAAACATGATAAAGCTCTACACAGAGTGAAACATGACAAAGCTCTACACAGAGTGAAACATGACTTGATAAAGCTCTACACAGAGTGAAACATAACTTGATAAAGCTCTACACAGAGTGAAACATGATAAAGCTCTACACAGAGTGAAACATGACAAAGCTCTACACAGAGTGAAACATGACTTGATAAAACTCTACACAGAGTGAAACATGACTTGATAAAGCTCTACACAGAGTGAAACATGACTTGATAAAGCTCTACACAGAGTGAAACATAACTTGATGAAGCTCTACACAGAGTGAAACATAACTTGATAAAGCTCTACACAGAGTGAAACAGGATAAAGCTCTACACAGAGTGAAACATGACAAAGCTCTACACAGAGTGAAACATGGCTTGATAAAGCTCTACACAGAGTGAAACATAACTTGATAAAGCTCTACACAGAGTGAAACATGACTTGATAAAGCTCTACACAGAGTGAAACATGACTTGATAAAGCTCTACACAGAGTGAAACATAACTTGATAAAGCTCTACACAGAGTGAAACATAACTTGATAAAGCTCTACACAGAGTGAAACATGACTTGATAAAGCTCTACACAGAGTGAAACATAACTTGATAAAGCTCTACACAGAGTGAAACATAACTTGATAAAGCTCTACACGAGTAGTGAAACATGACTTGATAAAGCTCTACACAGAGTGAAACATAACTTGATAAAGCTCTACACAGAGTGAAACATAACTTGATAAAGCTCTACACAGAGTGAAACATAACTTGATAAAGCTCTACACAGAGTGAAACATGACTTGATAAAGCTCTACACAGAGTGAAACATAACTTGATAAAGCTCTACACAGAGTGAAACATGACTTGATAAAGCTCTACACAGAGTGAAACATGACTTGATAAAGCTCTACACAGAGTGAAACATGACTTGATAAAGCTCTACACAGAGTGAAACATAACTTGATAAAGCTCTACACAGAGTGAAACATAACTTGATAAAGCTCTACACAGAGTGAAACATGACTTGATATAGCTCTACACAGAGTGAAACATAACTTGATAAAGCTCTACACAGAGTGAAACATGATAAAGCTCTACACAGAGTGAAACATGACTTGATAAAGCTCTACACAGAGTGAAACATGACTTGATAAAGCTCTACACAGAGTGAAACATGACTTGATAAAGCTCTACACAGAGTGAAACATAACTTGATAAAGCTCTACACAGAGTGAAACTTGACTTGATAAAGCTCTACACAGAGTGAAACATGACTTGATAAAACTCTACACAGAGTGAAACATGACTTGATAAAGCTCTACACAGAGTGAAACATAACTTGATAAAGCTCTACACAGAGTGAAACATGATAAAGCTCTACACAGAGTGAAACATGACTTGATAAAGCTCTACACAGAATGAAACATGACTTGATAAAGCTCTACACAGAGTGAAACATGACTTGATAAAGCTCTACACAGAGTGAAACATGACTTGATAAAGCTCTACACAGAGTGAAACATGACTTGATAAAGCTCTACACAGAGAACATGATAAAGCTCTACCCCCAACATCGAGGTATTACCCCCTCCTTCCCCTCTCCTTATGAAGGAGGGGGGTGACAGAGAAGCCATATGTGTTGCTGGTGACTTAGGTGCTCACCGCACCTAGGTCTTCACTAACACACACAAGCGTCATCACAAACCCTCAAGACATTATTAACGTCTATACGTTGTGGTCTGGGACCTCGTTCACTCTGAAGAAGGTCAGATCTCGGTACCAAAACAACCACAGTCCAAATGGTTTTGCTTAAAAGAATATTTTTGTCACTTTCTATGCCTTTACCAGCCTCTGTATTAATTTTTATTGATGTGGCATAGTATTTCTGTGTTTGTGAAAGTCTTAGTTATCTCAGTAGTAGTAACCAGTTACCAGTAACCAGTGTACCAGTAGATGACTCACTACCAACCGTCTCTGCCTGAGTCACTGTCTGTATTCATATTGTGCTGACCACAGCAGTATTCAAAGACCCCCTCACATATGGGTACTGTGGGCGGTCAGTTATTCGAGAGTGAGCAAGGAGGTAGGTCACGGCTGTTTGGGCGCTTCCCACATTATCCGTAATTATACGTACTACCAGCCTATGTGAGTATTACTTTACCCTATCCACGTGTTCGAACCCCACATGATAGTTATTCCTGAGTTTATATCTTGTTTTTCACGAGTTTATTTCATTTAGAAAAAATATAATTAAAACTGCGACCATAATTTGTAAAGGGGTGGAGGGGTAAGCCAGCAGAAGGCCTCGGTCAGATGACCAAAAGCTTCAGCAACGGGTCATCATCTAAGACCCGCGTCAGGAAACACTTGTCCTGTTTCCTGACGAACATTACCTAACCTACCTTCTAGAAGTGAGCTTAGTAATAGGCTTATATTAGTGCCTCGTCCTGGAGGCACTGGGTGGGTGAAGGTGGGAGAGAGGGGAGAGAAAGAGAGAGGGGAGAGTAAGGGGATTAGGTCAGGTGTGTGCTACATACCTGCAAGCATTTGGTACAATATTTTTTAAAGCTGGTCACGTTGCTAACTCAGACATGACCCCTGACCTCCACGTTGTGACCCCTGACCTGTGTGTTTACATAGTAATTACCGTAATTACCATTTGAAGTTTTCTCAAACACTTTTACATTGGTTTAGATAGGATGGATAATAAAGCAAAAACACCTCGTGACCTGATCCATCTCAACTTTTCGCGACTGACTCTATTTTAGAGAGAATTTGAATAAATGCTTTAGATAAATGACAAGATGAGAGATGAGAAACTAGTTGTATTGCAATAACATTGCACAAATGAGGCCTGGTCACAGACCGGGCCGCGGAGGCGTTGACACCTGGAACTCTTTCCAGGTAAACTCCAGGTAAACAAAATACAATATGTACAAATTCATTAGTAAGACACATGTGCCAGAGTTTGGTCAGTTATATCTTCTAAATAAAGATCTTGTTTATGTATATGACAGGTATTATTGTGTGTTATCTAAGGTTTAATGTTTTCCTCCTCATTTATCGACTTTTGCATTACAGGAAGCAGAGTCGTACAAGTGAGGCAAGCGTTCAAGTGGGAGATGCTATAATTGGCCAAGACGAGACCCAATTGGAAGACGCAGATTACACAGGCGCTGAAGATTCACTTTCTTGCAGCTGCCGTTCAGAAAGTGAGGGTGAAGAACCAGAGCACAACGAAGGATTGGTAGCTGTAGGATCTGGTAAGAGGGACCACATACATCTACCACTAGAGTCACACACTCATACGAGACCTACCAGGATGACTCCCAAAGGCTTCACATATGAAGAAGTACAAGACACAGATCATAGATTTACTCCTGGAGAACATTCCATCCCTGTAGTTTCAACCCAAGATGATCAGGAAAGTACAAATCACTGCTTGTTTCATGATGTTTATATTTTTGGTTCAAACACTTCACTAGAATCTAGTATAAGTCAGCCATCTTGTGCTAGTCTGGATTCTCGCTTAGCTCGTGTTTCTGGTAGCAGTAATACATACCAAAGCAGAGTTCTGCCTCACACTTTCTTCCTGGACCTGGACAAAGGTGGTCTGGATGTCAACTCTGCATCAAGCACACCACTGATGTCTCCACAGTCTCCTTCTGAAACTCGTCGACGGTGGGACAAAAATGTCTGGCCAGAAGTTGAGCGTGGATTACGTAGGAACCAAAGTGTGCCAGATATGGAATGTGTACAACGAGCAGATGAACAACCACATAAGAAACACAGAGGTTTCTCTAGATATCGTCAACAACACTATACTGACGACAGAGAGAAACGACAGAAAATCATCGATGCCGTCACACGTCGTCTGTATCCAGGTAGTGGTCCTGGATTTGGGCGACGGAGCAAAAAGACGGCAGAAAAGCCTCACATTCCAGGAGAACGTGAATGCCGTTGTCGCAGAAAAGGAGTGTCTAATGCAGACGCTTGTACTATGACCTCTGGTAGAAGCAGCGTGTCTGCTGTCAGCACTCCCAGGCTTCTTGACAGAATACCATCAGTTGTATCCGTCACTACGACATTACCTCAGTATTCTTCTGGTAACACTTCTCTAACATGGCGGCGTTGCTCTTTAGACAGTGCCCCCGGGAGCCTTCTGCCACTTCCTGTATATAGAGACAAATTAGAAAGTGACAAGCCTCTGTCTAGTCCCAAAGTAGAAAGTGCAATACCCATACCCACTCGGACTTGTAAGCAAGTGACACGACATGAGGTTAAAACTGCTTCTACTCTAACTAGAACTTTACATAAAACTGAAACACAAATTATCAGTGCTGTTCCACAGGGTGACAAGCCTGAGATGCGTGACCAGGCAGTTGGTTGTGACACAAGTGATCTTAAAAATTGGCTTAAGAATGTTGTAGGAGAGACTGTAGGTGTACAGGTAGGTAAGTCTTTATTGTCAAATGATATTGTTAGTCAAACTGAGATTTCTATGGGCTCTGAGTTTCACACACAGTCTGTATATGAGGAACAGAAGTCACTCAGTGATGTAAGGGACAGTGGTAGTGGTGAGCAGGAGAAAGAGAGGCGGCGGATTCCTCTTACTCCTGCCTTGCTCCAGCTTAGACGTGCCTTAGCATCACTAAATGACCCTGAGAGGTTTTCGGATGATAGCTTGGAACACTGTAATTTGGAAACAGATAAGCGTTCACCATTAATAGCTAGTCCTATGCTTGATGATGATGATGATGAAGAAATTTCATTGGGAGACATTAGCAAAGATTCATTAGAAGACAGTTTATATAATTTAAATTCGCAGGATATTGTCTTTCCTTATGAGGATATTGTAACATCATCACCCAAGGTACATGACTATGACATTCCCAGTGATGGTAGGAGTTGTACTGCTGATTGTATCATACAAGATCCTGGAGTACAGAAGGACCCAATTGTTCAGTCTTTCTCTCAGTCTATTAGTGCCTCCAGTCAAAGCCAGGCTGTTGATGTTGAAGAGTCTGAGTCATTGACTGATAATAGTGATGTGGTAAGTTCTGTGATTGTTGCATCTTCTCACCAGAGTTTTCACACAACATCACAGATGCTTGTTGATAGAGGAATGGAAGTGCCTGATGCTCCAGGTGCTGCCCTATCAGAGGCTGCATCATCAAAAACAGTACGACGATGGGCCCGTGAGAGAGCAGAAAAGCGTCTAGTAGATAACACCAGCTCGGAGGACAGTGACGTTGACTCGAGAAGACGACCAAAATTTAGAAAACGACGCGTTAGAAGATCATCTCTCCCTACTATGTCCCCACCAATGGTGGAATGTGCAGAGAAGTCTGACTCAACAGATTATGTATCAGCACAGTATTCATCCCCAGAGAAAGTCAGAAGTCTGAAGTATCTGACTGCTACTGAAACATCACCTACAGAATTTGCTGCTACACACAGTCAGATATATGTGAGAAATGAGGAGCATAACGATTTTCCAGCAGTCTCAGGTGAGTGTAAAACTGAAGTTGCAACGAAAATGAACGAAAGAGAGATAATTGAAAGACACAAGCGACCTCACGTTGCATGTGAACAAGACACTACACAATGCTTTTCAACTCCTACCCACATACAAAGTACAAAACTGGAAATAAAGAAAGAAACCTCAGCTAGTCTTGACTCACAAGAACAGCTGAAAGAATCTGCCAGGAGATTATTACAGACAGTGAGTAAAGATGGCCCACTCTCAGAAGCTTCTCAAGATGCTGTCGCAGATTTACTAAAAGCATCATCCCATAGACTTGCAAGTTTTGCTTTAGCTATAGCTGATGATAGCATGAAAACAGGAGTTACCTGTCCTCTCTCTGAGAGTGGAACTGCCAAGAAAGATGACTATAACACCATTCAGGGAGAAGAAAGCTTGTATGAAAGCTCTAGCGAGTATACGCCCTTCAGAAAAGGGTACACTAGTATACACACAGCCTCTGACACCGACACAACATCCAAGGGATCCTCACCTAAAAAAATCAAGTTGAATCAGGTTCCATTAAAGAAAAAACTGTGCTTTGAAGAACATACAAGTTTGGTAGAACCCGTATGTTCCAGTAGCGGAGGTGAACTGTCTGCCACTGAAACAGCAGCAGATATAACTGATGAAAGCACTTCAGTCACCACACCCATAGCCTCCCCAGTTAGTGAGATTGGATCTTTTGAAAGCTCATTGGAAGAATTTGAAGCTGATATCCAGGATGAAAGGGGGGGATTAAGTTTATCTAAGAAACATGTGCAAGTGATAGCAGCCGAGTTTACTCCAAGAACTGCTCGGAGGTTGTTATATACCATCATAGAGTGTAGTGAAAGCAGTCGCTCTGAAGGTGTGCCTTCAGAGTCAGATATAATTCCTTCAGACTGGCGTGACACTTGTAGTGACGCAGATGCTGACTCGGTATCCATCAGCTATGAACCTAGTGAAGAGGCAGCAAGTTCCTCTGATGACACTATGTTGGACACAGTTCGACCAAACCAAGATGACGTAGCAGACTTGAAACCAGTTTTAGAGGAAGCTGCAGTTGTGAATCAGCCCCTCACACATAGTTTGACCGGCTCGCTCGAACTCCTGACCAATTTACCATCATCATCAGAAAGTCTGGATAGGGAAGCAGAGTCCTGGGACACAGACCATGAGATTAAACCTCAAGGTTACGAAAGCCCACACGATGTAAACACCAGCCTAGATGACACTTCGAGCAACATATCCCCGACGGATGAACAGATTTTGACATTCGAACCGGCATTCTTAGCCAGAGAAAGCCTACCTGAATGTGTACCATCCTTGGACCTCTCTCATCTTCAAAATTCCCCCAAATCTAGCCAACCATCTCACGTAGAAGTATTAGCTACCCCTCCATCGTCGCCTGGAAGCTCAACTCTGGTGGAAAGCATACAACACCTTTCTACAATTCAACTCAGTCTTATCTCCACGGAGGCCTATACCCAAGGCCTACCAGATTCACTGGTAGCAGTAAAACAGCCAGTCTGTGAAGAGGAAACAAACAAGTTGCCTTTAACAGCAGCATCTGCCAAGATGGATGATTTCAAAAGCAAATCTATTGTGCAAAGTCACACATACGAAGCAAAACAAATCAAGCCGCCTCATCCAGTAGACACAATTGATGTAGATAACAATGAAGTCCAGCCATCAGAGACATCAGTTGTGGTTCAGAGTACTTCAGCAAGTAATAGGATGGTGGAAGAAGACACTGCCAGGACATCAAGTGAAGCAGACATGTCTCAGACATCACTGAGTGACATGACACATGATGACGCTACTCAGAGTGAATATTGTAACAGGAATGAGCACACACAGCTCCAAGTTGAACTTTTCAAGCTGCAACTAGAACCTCTGCTGCAAATTGAACCTGAGTTACGAGATGAACTAGTGAGCTGCACTCTAACAGTCCCCTGTCACCCTACCCAGAATTCAGTGTCGATTACCAGTCTACCCGACACTGTAACAACTGTGAATCTACCAGACACTGTAACAACTATCAGTCTACCAGACACTGCAACAACTATCAGTCTACCAGACACTGTAACATCTACCAGTCTACCAGACACTGTAACAACTACCAGTCTACCAGACACTGTAACAACTATCAGTCTACCAGACACTGTAACAACTACCAGTCTACCAGACACTGTAACAACTACCAGTCTACCAGACACTGCAACAACTGTCAGTCTACCAGACACTGAAACAACTATCAGTCTACCAGACACTGTAACAACTATCAGTCTACCAGACACTGTAACAACTATCAGTCTACCAGACACTGTAACAACTACCAGTCTACCAGACACTGTAACAACTACCAGTCTACCAGACACTGTAACAACTATCAGTCTACCAGACACTGTAACAACTACTAGTCTGCCAGACACTGTAACAACTACCAGTCTAGCAGACACTGTAACAACTACCAGTCTACCAGACACTGTAAAAACTATAAGTCTTCCAGACACTGTAACATCTACCAGTCTTACAGACACTGTAACAACTACCAATCTTACAGACACTGTAACAACTATGAGTCTACCAGACACTGTAACATCTACCAGTCTACCAGACACTGTAACAACTATCATTCTACAAGACACTGTAACTACCAGTCTACCAGACACTGTAACAACTATCAGTCTTCCAGACACTGTAACAACTACCAGTCTACCAGACACTGTAACAACTATCAGTCTACCAGACACTGTAACAACTACCAGTCTACCAGACACTGTAACATCTATCAGTCTACCAGACACTGTAACAACTATCAGTCTACCAGACACTGTAACAACTATCAGTCTACCAGACACTGTAACAGCTATCAATCTACCAGACACTGTAACAACTATCAGTCTACCAGACACTGTAACAACTGTGGGTCTACCAGACACTGTAACAACTATCAGTCTACCAGACACTGTAACAACTGCCAGTCTACCAGACACTGTAACAACTGTCAGTCTTCCAGACACTGTAACAACTACCAGTCTACCAGACACTGTAACAACTATCAGTCTACCAGACACTGTAACAACTGTGGGTCTACCAGACACTGTAACAACTATCAATCTACCAGACACTGTAACAACTGTGGGTCTACCAGACACTGTAACAACTGTGGGTCTACCAGACACTGTAACAACTATCAGTCTACCAGACACTGTAACAACTATCAGTCTACCAGACACTGTAACAACTACCAGTCTACCAGACACTGTAACAACTATCAGTCTACCAGACACTGTAACTATCAGTCTACCAGACATTGTAACAAATACCAGTCTACCAGACACTGTAACAACTATCAGTCTACCAGACACTGTTACAACTATCAGTCTACCAGACACTGTTACAACTATCAGTCTACCAGACACTGTAACAACTATCAGTCTACCAGACACTGTAACAACTATCAGTCTAACAGGCACTGTAACAACTGCCCGTCTACCAGACATTATGACAACTACCAGTCTACCAGACACTGTAACAATCAGTCTACCAGACACTGTAACTGCCAGTCTACCAGACACTGAAGCAACTACCAGTCTACCAGACACTGTAGCAACTGTCAGTCTACCAGACATTGTTACAACTACCAGTCTACCAGACACTGTAACAACTATCAGTCTACCAGACACTTTAACAATCAGTCTAGCAGACACTGTAACAACTATCAGTCTATCAAACTCTGTTACAACTTCCAGTCTACCAGACACTGTAAGAACTATCAGTCTACCAGGCACTGTAACAACTACCAGTCTAACAGACACTTTAACAATCAGTCTAGCAGACACTGTAACTGTCAGTCTACCAAACACTGTAACAACTACCAATCTACCAGACACTGCAACAACTACCAGTCTTCCAGACACTGTAACAACTATCAGTCTACCAGACACTGTAAAAACTATCAGTCTACCACACACTGTAACCACTACTCCACCACACACTGTAACTACCACTCTACCACTCACTGTAACTACCACTCCACACACTGTAACCTCTGCTCCACCACACACTGTAACTACCACTCTACCACTCACTGTAACTACCACTCCACACACTGTAACCACCACTCCACCACACACTGTAACCACTACTCCACAACACGCTGTAACCACTCCACAACACGCTGTAACAACCACTACACCACACACTGTAACCACTACTCCACAACACGCTGTAACAACCACTACATCACACACTGTAACCACCACTCTGCACACTGTAGCTACCACTCCACCACACACTGTAACCACCACTCCACAAACTATAACTACTCTACACGCTGCAACTACCACTCCACCACACACTGTAACCACCACCCCACCACACACTGTAACCACCACCCCACCACACACTGTAACCACCACCCCACCACACACTGTAACAACCACCCCACCACACACTGTAACCACCACCCCACCACACACTGTAACCACCACCACACCAACTTCAGACCAACTCTTCACAGTTCCCTCTCCCCTCAAAGATCCGCATGTACCAGTTAAATATCCCACTGTGAAGGATCCCTGTACACCCTCAGCAACAGGGATGCCTTCACTGTCTGAAATCCAATCCATCAAAGTCTCAGCAGTGCCTACAGTGCCACAGATCTCCGCAGCAGACGTAAACACTGCTAAATCACCATCAGCCGCTACAGTGAAAGAAAAAAGACCTCAACTGAAGGTGACAGGACTGGTTGAAATGGAAGTTGACAGAGTGAATAAAGACTCTGGGACTTCTGAGACATCACAGGAATCTGTGGCAGTCAGTGGGGTTGGAAAGTTGCTGTCTGTGGATAGACAGAAGTCTGTGGATAGACAGAAGTCTGTGGAGGGGGAGGAAGAGGAGGGTGTCACTGCGAGCTTGTCAGTAAAGGAGAATTTAACGGTAGATGTTGACAGTTTTAAACCCCTGACCCCTGAAACCCTTGCCCCTGAAACCCTGACCCCTGAAATTCTGACACCTGAAACCCTGGCCCCTGAAACCCTGGCCCCTGAAACCCTGACCCCTGAAACCCTGCCCCCTGAAACCCTGGCCTATGAAACCCTGACCCCTGAAACCCTGGCCTATGAAACCCTGACCCCTGAAACCCTGGCCCCTGAAACCCTGACCCCTGAAACCCTGACTACTGAAACCCTGGCCTATGAAACCCTGACCCCTGAAACCCTGGCCCCTGAAACCCTGACCCCTGAAACCCTGACTACTGAAACCCTGACCCCTGTAACCCTGACCCCTGAAGCCCTGGCCCCTGAAACCCTGGCCTCTGATACCCTGGCCCCTGAAACCCTGGCCCCTGAAACCCTGACCCCTGAAACCCTGACCCCTGAAACCCTGGTCCCTGAAACCCTGGCCCATGAAACCCAGGCTCCTGAAACCCTGGCCCCTGAAATCCTGGCCCCTAAAACCCTGGCCCCTGAAACCCTGGCCCCTGAATCACTGGCCCCTGAAACCCTGGCCCCTGAAACCCTGAGCCCTGAAGCCCTGGCCCCTGAAACCCTGGCCCCTGAAACCCTGGCCCCTGAAACCCTGACCTCTGATACCCTGGCCCCTGAAACCCTGGCCCCTGAAACCCTAGCCCCTGAAACCCTGACCTCTGAAACCCTAGCCCCTGAAACCCTGACCCCTGAAACCCTGACCCCTGAAACCCTGACCCCTGAAACCCTGACCCTTGAAACCCTGACCCTTTGAAACCCTGACCCCTGAAATCCTGGCCCCTAAAATTCCTGGCCCTGAAATCCTGGCCCCTGAAACCCTGACCCCTGAAACCCTGGCCCCTGAAACCCTGGCCCCTGAAACCCTGGCCCCTGAAACCCTGACCTCTGAAGCCCTGGCCCCTGAAACCCTAGCCCCTGAAACCCTGGCCCCTGAAGCCCTGGCCCCTGAAACCCTAGCTCCTGAAGCTCTGGCCCCTGAAACCCTGGCCTCTGAAACCCTGACCCCTAAAACCCTGCCCCCTAAAACCCCTGACCCCTGAAACCCTGACCCTGAAACCCTACCCCTGAAACCCTGACCCTTGAAACCCTGACCCCTGAAACTCTGACCCCTGAAACCCGGTCCTAAACCCTGGCCCCTGAAACCAGGCTCCTAAAACCCCTGACCCCTGAAACCCTGACCCCTGGAACCCTGGCCTCTGAAATCCTGGCCCCTAAAATCCTGGCCCTTGAAACCCTGGCCCCTGAATCACTGGCCCCTGAAACCCTGGCCCCAGAAACCCTGAGCCCTGAAGCCCTGGCCCCTGAAACCCTGGCCCCTGAAACCCTGGCCCCTGAAACCCTGGCCTTTGATACCCTGGCCCCTGAAACCCAGGCCTCTGATACACTGGCCCCTGAAACCCTGACCTCTGAAACCCTGGCCCCTGAAACCCTGACCCCTGAAACCCTGACCTTTGAAAACCCTGACCCTTGAAACCCTGGCCCTAAAAACCTGGCCCCTGAAACCCGGGCCCCCTGAAACCCTGACCCCTGAAATCCGGCCCCCTAAAATCCTGGCCCCTGAAACCCTGGCCCCTGAATCACTGGCCCCTGAAACATTGACCCCTGAAACCCTGACCCCTGAAACCCTGGCCCCTGAAATTCTGGCCCTTGAAACCCTGACCCCTGAAGCCCTGGCCCCTGAAACCCTAGCCCCTGAAACCCTGGCCCCTGAAGCCCTGGCCCCTGAAACCCTAGCACCTGAAGCCCTGGCCCCTGAAACCCTAGCCCCTGAAGCCCTGGCCCCTGAAGCCCTGGCCCCTGAAACACTGGCCCCTGAAACCCTGACCACTGAAACCCTGGCCCCTGAAACCCTTACCCCTAAAACCCTGACCCCTGAAACCCTGGCCTCTGATACCCTGGCTCCTGAAACTCTGGCCCCTGAAACCCTGGCCCCTGAAACCCTGGCCCCTGAAACCCTGACCCCTGAAACCCTGGCCCCTGAAACCCTGACCCCTGAAACCCTGGCCTCTGATACCCTGGCTCCTGAAACTCTGGCCCCTGAAACCCTGGCCCCTGAAACCCTGACCCCTGAAACCCTGACCCTTGAAACCCTGACCCCTGAAACTCTGACCCCTGAAACCCTGGCCCCTGAAACCCAGGCTCCTGAAACCCTGACCCCTGAAACCCTGACCCCTGGAATCCTGGCCTCTGAAATCCTGGCCCCTGAAATCCTGGCCCCTGAAACCCTGGTCCTTGAATCACTGGCCCCTGAAACCCTGGCCCCTGAAACCCTGGCCCCTGAAACCCTGGCCCCTGAAACCCAGGCTCCTGAAACCCTGACCCCTGAAACCCTGACCCCTGGAATCCTGGCCTCTGAAATCCTGGCCCATGAAATCCTGGCCCCTGAAACCCTGGTCCTTGAATCACTGGCCCCTGAAACCCTGGCCCCTGAAACCCTGGCCCCTGAAACCCTGAGCCCTGGAGCCCTGGCCCCTGAAACCCTGGCCCATGAAACCCTGGCCTCTGATACCCTGGCCCCTGAAACCCTGGCCCCTGAAACCCTAGCCCCTGAAACCCTGGCCCCTGAAACCCTGACCCCTGAAACCCTGACCCCTGAAAACCCTGACCCTGAAACCCTGACCCTTAAAACCTGGCCCCTAAAACCCCTGGCCCCTAAAACCCTGACCCCTGAAATCCTGGCCCCTGAAATCCTGGCCCCTGAAATCCTGGCCCCTGAAACCCTGACCCCTGAAACCCTGGCCCCTGAAACCCTGGCCCCTGAAACCCTGGCCCCTGAAACCCTGACCTCGGAAGCCCGGGCCCCCGAAACCCTACCCCCTTTGAAACCCGGGCCCCTGAAGCCCTGGCCCCTGAAACCCTAGCTCCTGAAGCTCTGGCCCCTGAAACCCTGGCCTCTGAAACCCTGACCCCTGAAACCCTGACCCCTGAAACCCTGACCCCTGAAACCCTGACCCCTGAAACCCTGACCCCTGAAACCCTGACCCTTGAAACCCTGACCCCTGAAACTCTGACCCCTGAAACCCTGGTCCCTGAAACCCTGGCCCCTGAAACCCAGGCTCCTGAAACCCTGACCCCTGAAACCCTGACCCCTGGAACCCTGGCCTCTGAAATCCTGGCCCCTAAAATCCTGGCCCCTGAAACCCTGGCCCCTGAATCACTGGCCCCTGAAACCCTGGCCCCAGAAACCCTGAGCCCTGAAGCCCTGGCCCCTGAAACCCTGGCCCCTGAAACCCTGGCCCCTGAAACCCTGGCCTTTGATACCCTGGCCCCTGAAACCCAGGCCTCTGATACACTGGCCCCTGAAACCCTGACCTCTGAAACCCTGGCCCCTGAAACCCTGACCCCTGAAACCCTGACCTTTGAAACCCTGACCCTTGAAACCCTGGCCCCTGAAACCCTGGCCCCTGAAACCCTGGCCCCTGAAACCCTGACCCCTGAAATCCTGGCCCCTAAAATCCTGGCCCCTGAAACCCTGGCCCCTGAATCACTGGCCCCTGAAACATTGACCCCTGAAACCCTGACCCCTGAAACCCTGGCCCCTGAAATTCTGGCCCTTGAAACCCTGACCCCTGAAGCCCTGGCCCCTGAAACCCTAGCCCCTGAAACCCTGGCCCCTGAAGCCCTGGCCCCTGAAACCCTAGCACCTGAAGGCCCTGGCCCCTGAAACCCTAGCCCCTGAAGCCCGGGCCCCCTTTGAAGCCCGGGCCCCCCTGAAACACTGGCCCCTGAAACCCTGGCCCCTGAAAACCCTGGCCCCGAAACCCTGGCCTTGATACCCTGGCCCCTAAAAACCCTGACCTCTGAAACCTGGCCCCTGAAACCCGACCCCTGAAACCCTGACCTTTGAAACCCTGACCCTTGAAACCCTGGCCCCTGAAACCCTGGCCCCTGAAACCCTGGCCCTAAAACCCTGACCCTGAAACCCTTTGGCCCCTAAAACCCTGGCCCCTGAAACCCTGGCCCCTGAATCACTGGCCCTGAAAACATTGACCCCTGAAACCCTGAACCCTGAAACCCTGGCCCCTGAAACCCTGGCCCCTGAAGCCCTGGCCCCTGAAACATTGACCCCTGAAGCCCTGGCCCCTGAAACCCTAGCCCCTGAAAACCCTGGCCCCTGAAAGCCCTGGCCCCTGAAACCCTAGCACCTGAAGCCCTGGCCCCTGAAACCCTAGCCCCTGAAGCCCTGGCCCCTGAAGCCCTGGCCCCTGAAACCCTGGCCCCTGAAACCCTGGCCCCTGAAACCCTGGCCCCTGAAACTCTGGCCACTGAAACCCTGGCCACTGAAACCCTGGCCCCTGAAACCCGGGCCCCCTGAACCCTGGCCCTTGAAACCCTGGCCCCTGAAAACCCTGGTCCTGAAACCCGGGCCCCCTGAAACCCTGGCCCTGAAACCCGGGCCCCCTGAAACCCTGACCTCTGAAGCTAAGGCCCCTGAAACCCTAGCCCCTAAAACCCTGGCCCCTGAAGCCCTGGCCCCTGAAACCGTAGCCCCTGAAGCCCTGGCCCCTGAAACCCTGGCCCCTGAAACCCTGACCCCTAAAACCCTGACCCCTGTAACCCTGACCCCTGTAACCCTGATCCCTGAAACCCTGACCCCTGAAACCCTGACTCCTGAAACCCTGGCCCCTGAAACCCTGACCCCTGAAACCCTGACCCCTGAAACCCTGACCCTTGAAACCCTGACCCCTGAAACGCTGACCCCTGAAATCTTGGTCCCTGAAACCCTGGCTTCTGAAACCCAGGCTACTGAAACCCTGACCCCTGAAACCCTGACCCTTGGAACCCTGGCCTCTGAAATCCTGGCCCCTAAAATCCAGGCCCCTGAAACCCTGGCCCCTGAATCACTGGCCCCTGAAACCCTGGCCCCTGAAACCCTGAGCCCTGAAGCCCTGGCTAATGAAACCCTGGCCCCTGAAACCCTGGCCCCTGAAAGCCTGGCCTCTGATACCCTGGCCCCTGAAACCCTGGCCTCTGATACCCTGGCCCCTGAAACCCTGACCTCTGAAACCCTGGCCCCTGAAACCCTGACCCCTGAAACCCTGACCCCTGAAACCCTGACCCTTGAAACCCTGGCCCCTGAAACCCTGTCCCCTGAAACCCTGACCCCTGAAATCCTGGCCCCTAAAATCCTGGCCCCTGAAACCCTGGCCCCTGAATCACTGGCCCCTGAAACATTGACCCTAAAACCCTGACCCCTGAAAACCCTGGCCCCTGAAACCCTGGCCCCTGAAACCCTGACCCTGAAACCCTGGCCCCTGAAACCCTAGCCCCTGAAACCCTGGCCCCTGAAACCCTAGCCCCTGAAGCCCTGGCCCCTGAAGCCCTGGTCCCTAAAACCCTGGCCCCTGAAACCCTGGCCCCTGAAACCCTGCCCCCTGAAGCCCTGGCCCCTGAAACCCTGGCCCCTGAAACCCTGGCCCCTGATACCCTGGCCCCTGAAACCCTGGCCCCTGAAACCCTGGCCCCTGAAACCCTGGCCCCTGAAACCCTGGCCCCTGAAACCCTGGCCCCTTATACCCTGGCCCCTGAAACCCTGGCCCCTGAAACCCTGGCCCCTGAAACCCTGGCCCCTGAAACCCTGGCCCCTGAAACCTTGGCCCCTGAAACCCTGGCCCCTGAAACCCTTGCCCCTGAAACCCTGGCCCCTGAAACCCTGGCCCCTGAAGCCCTGGCCCCTGAAACCCTGGCCCCTGAAACCCTGGCCCCTTATACCCTGGCCCCTGAAACCCTGGCCCCTGAAACCCTGGCCCCTGAAACCCTGGCCCCTGAAACCCTGGCCCATGAAACCCTGGCCCCTGAAACCCTGGCCCCTTATACCCTGGCCCCTGAAACCCTGGCCCCTGAAACCCTGGCCCCTGAAACCCTGGCCCCTGAAACCCTGGCCCCTTATACCCTGGCCCCTGAAACCCTGGCCCCTGAAACCCTGGCCCATACACAACCAGTAACTGAAAAAACTTCTCTAAGAACGAAAGTAAAAATTAAACCGGTTTTAATTAAGCAAAATGCTGTGGACAGTTACTTACAGTCAGTAACTGTTGTTGACAGTGAGTTACAGTCAGTAACTGCTGTGGACAGTGACTTACAGTCAGTAACTGATGTGGACAGTGTCTTACAGTCAGTAACTGATGTGGAGGACAGTGTCTTACAGTCAGTAACTGCTGTGGACAGTGTCTTACAGTCAGTAACTGATGTGGAGGACAGTGTCTTACAGTCAGTAACTGTTGTTGAGGACAGTGTCTTACAGTCAGTAACTGTTGTTGAGGACAGTGACTTACAGTCAGTAACTGTTGTGGAAGACAGTGTCTTACAGTCAGTAACTGCTGTGGAGGACAGTGTTTTACAGTCAGTAACTTCTGTGGACAGTGACTTTCAGTCAGTAACTCCTGTGGACAGTGACTTTAGGTCAGTAACTCCTGTGGACAGTGACTTGCAGTCAGTAACTCCTGTGGACAGTGACTTTCAGTCAGTAACTCCTGTGGACAGTGACTTGCAGTCAGTAACTCCTGTGGACAGTGACTTGCAGTCAGTACTCTGTACATGATTCAGTCATGTAACTCCGTGGACAGTGACTTGCAGTCAGTAACTCCTGTGGACAGTGATTTTAGGTCAGTAACTCCTGTGGACATGACTGCAGTCAGTAACTCCTGTGACAGTACTTCTCAGTAACTCCTGTGGACAGTGACTTTAGGTCAGTAACTCCTGTGGACAGTGACTTGCAGTTGGTAACTCCTGTGGACAGTGACTTTCAGTCAGTAACTCCTGTGGAAAACAGTGTCTTACAGTCAGTAACTGTTGTGGAGGACAGTGTCTTACAGTCAGTAACTGTTGTGGAGGACAGTGTCTTACAGTCAGTAACTGATGTGGACAGTGTCGTACAGTCAGTAACTGCTGTGGACAGTGTCTTACAACCAGTAACTGTTGTGGAAGACAGTGACTTAAAATCAGTAACTGCTGTGGACAGTGACTTACAGTCAGTAACTGCTGTGGACAGTGTCTTACAGTCGGTAACTGTTGTGGAAGACAGTGTCTTACAGTCGGTAACTGTTGTGGAAGACAGTGTCTTACAGTCAGTAACTGATGTGGAGGACAGTGTCTCACAGTCAGTAACTGCTGTGGACAGTGTCTCACAGTCAGTAACTGCTGTGGACAGTGTCTTACAGTCAGTAACTGATGTGGAGGACAGTGTCTTACAGTCAGTAACTGCTGTGGACAGTGTCTTACAGTCAGTAACTGTTGTGGAGGACAGTGTCTTACAGTCAGTAACTGATGTGGAGGACAGTGTCTTACAGTCAGTAACTGATGTGGAGGACAGTGTCTTACAGTCAGTAACTGTTGTGGAGGACAGTGTCTTACAGTCAGTAACTGTTGTGGAGGACAGTGTCTTACAGTCAGTAACTGTTGTGGAGGACAGTGTCTTACAGTCAGTAACTGCTGTGGACAGTGTCTTACAGTCAGTAAGTTCTGTGGAGGACAGTGTCTTACAGTCAGTAACTGATGTGAAGGACAGTGTCTTACAGTCAGTAACTGTTGTGAAGGACAGTGTCTTACAGTCAGTAACTGTTGTGAAGGACAATGTCTTACAGTCAGTAACTGATGTGGAGGACAGTGTCTTACAGTCAGTAACTGATGTGGACAGTGTCTTACAGTCAGTAACTGATGTGGAGGACAGTGTCTTACAGTCAGTAACTGATGTGGAGGACAGTGTCTTACAGTCAGTAACTGCTGTAGAGGACAGTGTCTTACAGTCAGTAACTGTTGTGGACAGTGTCTTACAGTCAGTAACTGCTGTGGAGGACAGTGTCTTACAGTCAGTAACTGCTGTAGAGGACAGTGTCTTACAGTCAGTAACTGCTGTAGAGGACAGTGTCTTACAGTCAGTAACTGATGTGGACAGTGTCTTACAGTCAGTAACTGATGTGGACAGTGTCTTACAGTCAGTAACTGATGTGGACAGTGTCTTACAGTCAGTAAATGATGTGGACAGTGTCTTACAGTCAGTAACTGTTGTGGAGGACAGTGTCTTACAGTCAGTAACTGCTGTGGAGGACAGTGTCTTACAGTCAGTAACTGCTGTAGAGGACAGTGTCTTACAGTCAGTAACTGCTGTAGAGGACAGTGTCTTACTGTCAGCAGCTGCTGTGGACAGTGTATTACAGTCAGTAACTGCTGTGGAAGACACTGTCTCACAGTCAGTAACTGCTCTGAAGGACAGTGTCTTTCAGTCAGTAACTGCTGTAGAGGACAGTGACTTACAGTCAGTAACTCCTTTTGACAGTGACTTACAGTCAGTAACTCCTTTGGACAGTGACTTACAGTCAGTAACTCCTTTGGACAGTGACTTACAGTCAGTAACTCCTTTGTACAGTGACTTACAGTCAGTAACTCCTTTGGACAGTGACTTACAGTCAGTAACTCCTTTGGACAGTGACTTACAGTCAGTAACTCCTTTGTACAGTGACTTACAGTCAGTAACTCCTTTGGACAGTGACTTACAGTCAGTAACTCCTTTGGACAGTGACTTACAGTCAGTAACTGCTGTAAAACCAGAGGATTCTGTAGACAAGGTCAGTGATAATCAGTACTTAGGGTCATCTCCACCACAGACCTCTGCTGTGGGAAGCACCTCTCTCAGCACTGCTGTGGGAAGCACCTCTCTCAGCACTGCTGTGGGAAGCACCTCTCTCAGCACTGCTGTGGGAAGCACCTCTCTCAGCACTGCTGTGGGAAGCACCTCTCTCAGCACTGCTGTGGGAAGCACCTCTCTCAGCACTGCTGTGGGAAGCACCTCTCTCAGCACTGCTGTGGGAAGCACCTCTCTCAGCACTGCTGTGGGAAGCACCTCTCTCAGCACTGCTGTGGGAAGCACCTCTCTCAGCACTGCTGTGGGAAGCACCTCTCTCAGCACTGCTGTGGGAAGCACCTCTCTCAGCACTGCTGTGGGAAGCACCTCTCTCAGCACTGCTGTGGGAAGCACCTCTCTCAGCACTGCTGTGGGAAGCACCTCTCTCAGCACTGCTGTGGGAAGCACCTCTCTCAGCACTGCTGTGGGAAGCACCATTTCTGAGAGAGGTGGTCCTCTTTCATCTGTGGTTCTTACTGAGAAAGTCGACTCCACAGAGATGCTGGACCAACACAGCCCACAGACTTCAATCGCTCCAATATTTCTCACTCAGAGAGAAGCCTGTACCATATTAGAGGACACTGGTATAACTTATAGGCCTAAGAGTAGGCTGGTTCGCATTTCACAGCAAACTGCAGTGGTGGAAGGCAGCAGTACACTGACAGGGCCGCCACAGTACACTGTAATCCAATCTACTGAGAACACTGTACTTGATACAGTGATTCCTGCACTGTTGGTGACTTCTGCTGTGGAAGTCAGCAGGTCTATCAGTGCTGACGTTGTGATCCCAAGTGCTGACGGTACTGCAGCAACATCAGCAACTAAGATGACAGTGGATGAGGTTGACAGTCAGACAGATAAGGCGGACAGTATCCATACACAGGCTGACACTATAGACTCACAGGCTGTCACTGTACACACACACACTGACGGTATGCACACAGAGGAGGCTGACAGCATACACACACAGGCTGACAGCACTCACACACAGGCTGACAGCATTCTCAGAGAAACACCACAGACAGAAACACTGCCACACAACACACAGCAACACACTCCAGCAGCACCTGACAGCACAATGGCTGACAGCAGACACCAAGCAGACATTTCAGTAAGACATAAGGATGCAGATGTCAGCCTTTCAGAGCTAGAGTCTTCAGCAGTGACGTCGCTAATACCAGATGCGACTTTAGCAGTGACGTCATTAATACCACTAGATGTGACTTCAACAGTGACATCTCTAATACCACAAGATGTGACTTCAGTAGCAGTGACGTCACTAATACCAGATGTGACCTCAGTAGCAATGACGTCAGTAATACCAGAAGATGTGATTTCAGAAGCAGTGACATCTCTCATACCAGAAGATTTGAATTCAGCAAAAGTGACGTCACCAGCGCCAGAGGATTTTTCAGCAGTGACGTCACTAATGCCTGAAGATGTGACTTCAGAAGCAGTGATGTCTCTAATATCAGGTGTGACAGAAGCAGTGATGTCACAAGTGCCATATGTGACTTCAGCAGTAACGTCACTAATGGAAGATGTGACTTCAGAAGCAGTGATGTCACTAATACCGGAAGATGTGACTTTAGTATCGGTGATGTCACTAACACCCGATGTGACTTTAGAAACAGTGACGTCGGCAGTACAAAATGTGACTTCAGCCACATCAGACGTGACTACAGAAACAGTGGTATCACTAATACGAGATGTGACTTCAGTAGCAGTGACGTCACCAATACCAGATGTGACTTCAGAAGCAGTGACGTCACTAATACCAGAAGATGTGACTTCAGTAGCAGTGACATCACTAATGTCAGATGTGACTTCAGTAGCAGTGATGTCACCAATAAGAGACGTGACTTCAGAATCAGTGACGTCACTAATGCCAAATGTGACTTCAGAAGCAGCGACGTCTCTAATAACAGAAGATATGACTTCAGACGCAGTGACGTTACTAATACCAGACGTGACCTCAGAAGCAGTGACGTCTCTAATACCAGAAGATGTCATGACTTCAGGAGCAACGTCTCTAATAACAGAAGCTGTGACTTCAGAAGCAGTGACGTCACTAATACCACATGTGAATTCAGTAGCAGTGACGTCACTAATACCTGACGTGACTTCAGAAGCAGTGACGTCACTAATAGCAGATGTGACTTCAGTAGCAGTGACATCACTAATACCAGAAGTTACTTCGGAAGCAGTGACGTCTCTAGTACCAGATGTGACTTCAAAAGCACTGACGTCTCAAATACCAGAAGATGTGACTTCAGTAGCAGTGACGTCTCTAATACCAGAAGATGTGACTTCAGAAGCAGTGACGTCTCTAATACCAGATGTGACTTCAGGAGCAGTGACATCAATAAAAGATGTAACTTCAGCAGTAACATCACTACCAGAAGATGTGACTTCAGTAGTAGTGACGTCTCTAATACCAGGTGTGACTTCAGGAGCAGTGACGTCAATAAAAGATGTGAGAAAAACCCAACAATTCAAGGAAAAAACCCCCCGACTTTAAGCAGAAAATTACCAACAAACTAACAAACCCCACAATTTTTTTTAAAAGGCCCCCAAAACAAATTTAATGGGCAGAATAAAAAACCAAATTTAAAAAGGAAAAAAAACCCATAAGGAAAAACCCAGAAAAAAACCCCAAAACTAAAAAAAAGGGACGATATAAACAAAACAACAAAAACCCCAACCTGAAGGGAAAGCACTACCCCCGGAAAATTTAAAGCAAAAAACCCACCAAATGAGGGACAGACACTCCCCAGTTTTTTATTCAAGCAGAAAAAAACCAACCCCAAAAAAAGCCCCCCCAGCAAAAAAAAGCAGAAAACCCCCCCAAAAAAAAACCAAAAAATATAAGAACACTCCACAATTATCCAAAACCCAAAACTTTTCAAAAAAAAACCCCCCAGTAAAACACCGGGAAAAAATAAACGAAATTTTACCCAAACAAAAGGAAAAATAAAAATTTTAAAAAAACCCAGCAAAAACATGGGAAAAAAACCTTTTAAAAAACAAAATTTTATTTAAAAAAACACCCAACCAAAACAAGAAAACCCCAAATTTTTTCAAGGAAAAAAAAAACCAACTAAGATATACACCCCCACTAAAAACAAAAAAAAACAACACAAAAAATTTTGCCCCCCAAGGAAAAAAGAAAACCACAAACTTTTGGGGAACCCAAAATTCCAAATTTTTAAAAAAAACGCCAAAAGACTTTAAAATAGCGGGAATTTTTACAACAAAAAATCCCAAACCCCAAAAAAGGGGAAACCCCCCCCAAACAACATCAAAACCACATTTTGAAAAAACCCAAAAAACCCAAAAACCATTTAAATAAAACCAATAATAGAAAAAAATTTCAGCAAAAAAAAAAAAAGAAAACCAACACCCAAAAAAAAACCCCCAAAAAAAAACCCCAAACCCCAAAATTTAAGGAAAAAAAAAAACATTTAAAAAAAACCCCCCAAACCCAGGGAGACAGATACCCAGCCCTTTTCAGCAAAAAACCTACCAACCCAAAAACCTAAAAACAACTTTAATCCAGAAAACATTTAAACAAAAATAAACACAAACCTTTTGGAAATCAAAACCCCTCCAAAAATTTAAAACAACTTCCACAAAATTTTAAGCAGAAAACAACCAAAAATTTAAAGGGAGAACACTACCCAAAATTTATAAAAAAAACCCACTCCCAAAAAGCAAAAAATATCCAGCGAATTTAAAAAAACCCCAAACACAACTATCCCCACAAATTTTTTACAGCAAAAACCCAACAAAATAAAACATAAAAAAAAAAACCCCCCAAAAACTAAGGAATAAGCAAAACCCAAAAAAAAGGAAAACACCAAAAAAATTTTAAGAAAACCACAAAAAGGAAATAAAAAACACCCCACCCCAGAAATAACAGAAAATCCAAAACAAAAATATACAGACACTCCCCAGTTTTTTATAACAAAACCCCAACACTAATAGCAGAACTCCAAACAAATTTAAAAGAAAAAAACCCAAACAATAATAAAAAACCCCACACAATTGGGCACCTTTTTAATAAAAACACTCCAAAAACAGGAAAAACACTACCCAATACCAAAATCACGAAAAACAAAAACCCCAAAAACATAAAGGAAACACACCCCCCAAATTTTTATAAAAAACTTTTTCCCAAAAAAATTAACCCCCCAAACCTTTAAACAAAACCAAAAAAACAAAAAAGGCAAATCCCCCCCAAACCCAAAGAAAACCCCCAAACATAAAGGAGAAGCAACCCAAAACTTTTACAAACAAAAAACCAACACATGCAGGAAAGGGAGCAAACCCGGGAAATTTATAAAAAACCCAAACCAACACATGCAGGGAAGGCAGCACAACCCAGAGACATAATCAAAAAACTCAAAAAAACCCCATATGAAAAAAAAACCCCCACCCTTTTTCAAAAAAAACCAAACAAAAAAAAATATGCAGATTTTATCAAGCAAAAAAACCCAAAACACCAAATTTATGGAAGCAGCATTTTTTTCAGAAACATTTTACCCCCTTTTTCCAACAATTCTGGAAGAAATTTTTCCCAGCAGACATTTATCCAAAAAAAAACCAAAAAAACATGAGGGGGCCGCACATTTCAGCAACTTTTAAACCCAAAAAAACCTACCAAACTTTGGGAAAAGACTACTCCACAACATTTATAAACAAAACCTACCAACCAATGCAGGGGAAGCCCTTAGCAGACTTTTATAAAAAAACCCCAAATCCAAAAATGCATGGGACAGACCCCCCCCGAATTTATCGGGAAAAATCCAAAAACCATGCAGGAGCCACTCTAAAACAATCAACAGAAAAAACCCCAAACACAGACATGGAGAAGCACTCCCAGAAATTTATAAAAAACCCCCCAACAAAAGGGAACCCTTCCCGGGAAAAAAAAAACAAAACAATACTTACCCCCCGCTTTTTAAAAAAAAAAACCTAAAAAAAAACCATTCCCCCCACGAAACCCCCAAAACAACAAAAACAGATACAGCATTTAAAAAAATTAAACAAACATAAAAAATTTTTCCAGAAACTACCCGCAAAAATAAAAACACAAAAAATTTCCCCAAAATTTTTACAGAAAAAAAAACCCAACCAAAATGATGGATGAAAACCTATCCAGCCCTTTTATCAACAGAAAAACCCCAACCCCAACATGGATCCATACTCCCAAAAAAAAAACCCTCCCAAACCATGACTGGATACAACCTCCCGATTTTTATCAACAGAAACACTCCAACACATGACATGGATGACCATACCCAGCAAATTTACAAAACAAAAAACACAAACCAAAAAAGGATCAAAACCCCAGACATTTTAAACAAAACACAAAACCATGCTGGAAGGGGAAAGCAAAATTTTACAAAAAAAACCCCCCAAACCATGACGGGATACCCACTCCAAAGCATTTATCAACAAAAACACCCCCAAACAAATAATGAACCCACCACCAACAAAAAACCAAAACCATAAAAAAGAAAAAAAATTTAAAACAAAACAAAAACCTTCAAAAAGAACCCAAACTACAACAAAACAAAAACAACCAAAAATTTGCAGGGAAACACACAACCCCGCAATAACAACACCCACAACATAAAAGGGACCCCATCCAGAAATTTTAAAAGAAACCCAAACACATGAAGGGAAAGACACAAAAACCCAGCGACTTTTAAGCAGAAAACCCAAAATTGTCAGGGAAAGACAGACTCCCACAGAATTTATAAGAAAACCCAACACAAAAGGGACCCTACAACATTTATAAAGAAAACACAAAAACAGAAGGGAAACACTCTCCACAAATTTATCAAGGAAACACTACCCACAACAAGGGACGCATCAACCCAGAATTTTTTCAAAACACCCAAAAATGCAATAAGACTCCCCAATAAAAAACAAAAAACACTGCAAAAGCATTATCCCCAAACTTTATCAAGAAAAAAAACCTACCCAAAAAAAGGGGAAAAAAAAAAACCAAAAAAGCAAAAACCCACAAAATACGGGGAAAAACTTAAACGACATTACAAGCAAACCCACCAAACTTTTGGGAAGAAAAACCCCAAAAATTTTAACAGAAAACCCCCCACAAAATATGACACACTACTCCAGAAATTTAAAGCAGAAAACCCCAAACCTTTAAAAGGACCCAAACCCACAAATTTAAAAAAAACCCCCTAAAACCCAAAGGGAAAAAAACCCCAAAAAAAACAAAAGAACACTCCAAAATTTTATAAAAAAAAACCTAAAAAATTTTAAAGAAAAACACCAGAATTTTAAGAAAAAACCCAAAAAAAAGAAAACCCCCTACAGTTTTATAAAAAAAAACCCCCAAAAACAGGGGAAAAGAAAAAAACCCGGGAAAATTTATCCGCAAAAAATAAAAAACAAACGAATCACAATCCAAAAATTTATCAAAAAACACAAAACACAGGGAAAATGACGACACCCAATTTTTTTTCCCAAAAATAAACCCCCCCCAAATAAAGGAAAACAGAAAAAAATTTTACAGAAAAACAAATAAACACCATAATAAAAGAAAAACCACAAAAAACAAAAAAAACCACCCCCAAGACTTTTCCAAGAAATAAACCCAAAAAAAACCATGCAAACCCCACAAAAATTTAACAAAACACTACCAACCCCCGGGAATGGAAGAAGCACACCCAGCAGACATTTATCAAGCAGAAACCTCCAACAAAAATTGTCAGGGAAAAGCACTATTCCACAACATTTATAGAAAATTTTTTCCAAAAAATTTAAGGGGAAAAACCTCCAGGACTTTTATAAGCAAAAACACCCCAAACACATGACAGGGAAATACCCAGCAGAATAATCAAAAAAAACCCCAACAAAAAACATGGATGAAAAAACCCCGAAATTTTTTAAAAGGCAAAACATACAACAAGAAAATCCCAACACTAAAGGAAAACAAAAAAAAACCCAACCAACAAACATAGAACAAAATATAGAAATTCAAACAAAAATAAACGGGGTTACAGAAAAAGCAAATTTTCCCAAAACACCAAACATACAGGGTGCAGCCACTTCCCAAACATTTTAAAGAAAAACTCCCACATATAAAACACTCCCCAATATTTTCCAAAACCAACAAAATGGAGAACCCACCCCCAATAAGAAAAACCAATCACAACATAAAGGAACACAACCCCCCGAGAATTACAGCAAAAAAACAAAAAATACCACACTACTAGAAACTTTTTATCACCCAAAACATATCAACAAATTAAAAACCAATACAGTTTTTATCAGCAGAAAACCACCAACCTCAAATTTTTTGGGAAAGAGCACAAACCCCCAAAATTTAAAGAAAAACCCAAAAACCATGGGACTATACCCACAACTTCGAAAAAAAACCCCCAACCAAAAGGGGCCCAAAAAAACCCCGGGGACATTTATCAAGCAAATAAAACACAA